TGACACGTGTCGGGTTGTGATTGGAAGGATTCGTAAGAAATCGGATTCCTAGAGAATGGAACGTATCTCTATCTTATAGGGGGGGTCGACTGTACGTGTTATAGTTTAGTTACGTAAACGTTAATTAAAGTGCCCTGTATATTAAATAAGCGCATTTTATGAATTTACTTGCCCCAAAGAAAATATCGTGAATTTTACAGGAAGGAATCAAATAATATAGTTGTTCCTATACTGAAATGGAGAAAAGTGATGGCCTACTGCTCGAAACGAACGATTTAATTTTCTTTTTATAATCAAAAAATTCGGCAACGAGTTGCGTAACTTTCCCGGCTGTTGTGAGATTTTATTGAGAAAATCACTTATATTTTTAATTGGAATATAAGAAACAGAATTGTTTGTGGCGCCATCTTTTATGTGATATTGTTATAAAAACTTTCTATATTTTTAATTATCATTAAAAGAGATTTTTGAAATTGGTGATAGCATCTCTATTAATTAATGGTGCAGCAGAATTTTCCATTAAAGTTTTAAAACTGGGATCAAATAGGAATTCAATGTCGACATTATTAATGTAGTTGCTTTGTGGTAAATATGTCGTCGCTTAAATTTTGACGATACACCAAATGAATATGCCATTTTTTAAGTGTTTGGTTTTGTAAATTAATTATTTTTATTTGAAAATAAGAGATTTAATCATAATGAAATAATTTTCAAATTTTAAAAGTAAAACTTAATAATATTTTTCAATAATATTATTATTATATTGCATATATTGCATATACTTTTTATTCATTTATACTAACTTTTTAATATCTATGAGGCAATTGCAACTTTAGTATCACATGTTGCATTTGTTTCTAATTTTTGTTAATATTTCAATGTAGCTCAATCTTATTAGTTTATAAAATTTATTTATATTGTATTCAAAATCTTCATTATTATTGCTGTTAAAGAATCATTATTTTATGCAGTACCTTGCCAAATTATTAGACCCATTGACTAAAATCATACTTTTTGTACTAATTTCTTCTAACTACAGTATATTTACTTTTTTCGTAATATTGTTTAAGGAATAAATATTTTTTCATGTTATTCTCTAAATCTCGAGAACGGAATTAGATAAATGAAATCCGAGATCAGATATGGAAACCTTATGGGCAAGAGGTCCACCTTTACTATATAAGAACTTCTGATGAAAACCAGAAGTCACATTATTTTAATTCAAAAATTTTTCTCTGGAAGGTGTTAGATAGATGACCGTCACGACTCTATTGTTAAAGGAAAAGTAAGATGTACAGCGGCAAGCAACTAATAATTTGAGGTGAAGAACATATATTTTAAATTAAATTATTTTAAAATATGAGTACAGTCGACCCCCTATAACGTACGTTCTTATAACGGAAATTCCTATAACGTAGCGAAAAAATTGTAGCAACTTTCGTATAACGTACCTCCTATAACGTCGTTTCGCGAGAAGATTGATAGAGTCTGGACCAATAGTGGATGAGCAGCCGAACTACTTACCTCCGACCCTGCGCCACGCTACGGAGCGGCTAAATTGAGTTTGCTATCGTCTGTTTAGTATTATATATAAATTATATATAAATTAGGTACTGTACATATAATTATATATTAATTATATATAAATTAGGTACTGT